GCTTCTCCAAATTTCGCAGAGTCCCCCGATAATTCGAGAAATTCAGAAACGCATGCGCCAGCAGCGTCACGTAACTTCCGCTGTTGTAACAGTAGAATAAATATGTAAATATGTATGTTCTGGTTGTTATGAAGCACTGGTATAGAATTATTATACACGAATATAGCGATTCCTATAATGCAAAAAATTATCAATAATATTTTTAAACTGAAATTAACCTCATTTGTTTCGTAACTTTTTCATTTACCTTAAAAACTCCCGCCATTCATTATATTTAATTATTTGCATACCCGAATATCATTGTTGATATTCGTTAATAACCATGGAACGTTGTAATGACGAAATCCCGTTCTCAGCATAAAGTAACGAAGAATTTGAAGAATTTTCCAAATTAATATTTTTTCTAAATAATTAATATTTTTCATGTTATCAACTATACTTGTGGGAAAAATAAGTGATGTGTCCATGAAAACAAGTGAACACTAGTTAATCTAGTACAGTACAATATTTAAGCCAGTAAAAGTAACTAGTAACATTGGAACGGTTCCTGAAAAATGTGAACCTAAGGCTTAAAATTCTTAGTTGATGTGCGCTGTCACCAATTGTAAAAAAGAAATTTTCCAGTCGATTAAAACACCTCGTAGACAGTTCAAATGTGAAAATTATAAGAATATGATTTAGAAATATAAAAAGCAAAGTAAAATAAAGGAATAAAATGTATGAAATTTTCAAATAATAAATACAAGTTCATGCAGAATAAAATATAGGATAAAATATAAATCTTCAATAAAATGTCAAAAGTTTCAGATAATTGACCTTTCGTTTCATTTAAGTAATTGTTTTTAGGGGCGTTGATTTTGTAACGTATGGATTGATCACAGAATTTACCTAAATAAACGGTCACCCATTTTCTTGTAGGGAACGTTTCATTTATTTTTTTACTCGGCTTTTTTCTTTATTATTTTTTAGGAAGTAGTAAACTGTATTGTTTGTTATTATATTCAGGATGAGTAACTATCCGTCTGTTTATTTTTGCAGAGGTGTGTATGCAGGTGAAGATAACGGCAAACGAGGTTATCTTTTAACTTATGTCATTGCATACATTCGGGTAAGTTTACAGATATAACTTTTGAATAGAACTACCTTTTCAGAAATAAGTGAAATCTGATAGTTTGAAGTTAATTATCGTTGTTAGGATGCAACTGCTAGACAGTTTACCTATATGTATGAATTGTATGTACACAAATATATCAAACGCATAATTCGGTATATTAGATTAAAGAGTACTTATTTATAATTTAACTGAAATGTGTATATTAAAATATTACACATCAATGTGATAGTGTTTTACCTTAAAGAAAATAAAAGTCCTCGGAACCTAGATATCCTAATTAGGCTTCAAATCCTCACCAATCTAGATATCCTATTTAGGCTTTAAACCTGATCCCTCAACAACAGCTTGAGGACAGTCAGTACGTTTCTCATCACTTTAAACTTAACAACTTTTATAATACACGCTATAAACCACAGCGATTCACATTCTCGATAACTTCGCTCTCTACGAGTGCAAAGTTTCCCTCTCTTACTTTTTTCTTTCTTGCGATCTTTTTTTATCCCTGTAATACATGTTTTAATGTTCGTCTTAAATCTTCTATTTATTGCCTTGATAACTCACAGTGCTCTATCTGTCTGTCTGTTTGTCTCTATGTAAATGCGTTTAAGTGCATGAGTTCCTCCGATTTGTTTCAACATCAAAGAAGATAAACGACATGTTGCAGGACTGTGATTTCATGTTATTGTTATGGTTACAAGATAGATGTGTGTGTTTTTCTTGTTTTGTATTTTAATTTCGCGCAAAGCTACACGAGAGTTATCTGCGCTAGCCATCCCTAATTTAGCAGTGTAAGACTAGAGGGAAGGCAGCTAGTCATCACCACCCACCGCCAACTCTTGGGCTACTCTTTTACCAACGAATAGTGGGATTGACCGTCACATTATAACACCCCCACGGCTGAAAGAGCATGTTTGGTTTGACAGGGATTCGAACCCGCGACCCTCAGATTGCGAGTTGAGCGCCCTAACCACCTGGCCATACCGGGCCAGATGTGTTTTTAGCATCGGGCAAAGCTCAGGTTTTCCTCCTTCCAATTTTGGGTTTCTACCAGAACACATCTGTTACTGCGCAAGTAGTCCAGTAGCGTGATACCATTTGTAATTTCGAACCACCAATCAGAGGGACGCAACCGGTCGGAAGCAATTTGTTGTTGTTTTTATATATATTATTAAGTAACTTAATAAACTGTCTATTTTAATTATTATTATTTTGTTCCGTTGGTTATACCAAGTTTTCAATGTAATTAAGAGGGGATTGTCCTTTTAATATAAACACGTGGAGTTCAAGGGTGTTATTCGCTGCTCAACACTATAGCAACAATCTGATATAAAATAACATACTCTAAGCAGACTAATTCAAGTTAATTACTGTATTCTCAAAATAACTCGAAATTGACTAGAATTGACTCAAAGACTTAACTAAGTAAACTAGATGCTTATATTTTCAATATGAGATAATATAATATACTACATTTCAAAATTTTTGTTGTTGTTAGTGAAGTTAAGTATTTTGTCACAGCGAAATTAGGTTTAACGCTGTTGTTCCATTTTGCAGTCTTCCCGGTTGATTAATATACCAACTAATTTATTATGTAACATAACTGTATAGAACACGCCTACTATTTACTCTTTGTCCACACTTTTGAAACTAAGTAAATTGGTCCAAGTTGACTACTGTATTCTCAAAATAACGCCAAATTATTTAGAATATTTGTAAAGAATTAAGAAAAATATTAATTACGCCCAAAAAAAATCCAAGAGCTTAGCTTTAAATGATCTTTAATCTCCAGCCTCTGTTAATTTAATACTGCTTAACAGTAATCGGGCCTAATACTAATCTTCTATTGAGTAATAATAACAGTGTTGTACAATTAATCTAATATGGCTTAGTACCACACAATTTAGTTTATATAATTTTGACTCTGAAGTTGGGTATTTGGTTCACGATCCCTTGGCCAAACACTGTATATACATACCTAGAGTAATAGTGACAGCGTTGTTCAATTAATCTAATATGGCTTAGTACCACACAATTTAGTTTATATAATTGTGACTCTGACGTTGGGTATTTGGTTCACGATCCCTTGGCCAAACACTGTATATACATACCTAGAGTAATAGTGACAGCGTTGTTCCATTATGGCATCTTTCTACACGCACATATACAATATATCTTAGGTTTATAACCAACGTACATTTAAGCTTAGCTAATATTACATTAAACCTACTAGACTTGTAAATAACCCACTGTCTTAATTTGACTGTGCCTTTGATTTTTATTTTCGGTTTTATTCTTTTGTGTTTATTTTGATATCACCGAAGTTATTTTAATTGGCTTTTTTGCCAATTTTAGTATTTTGTAATTTTTTTAAATGTGTTTTACTCTAATACCTATTTTAAAGCTTAATTAATTTCTCCCATAGGACCTAATATTTGACTTTGGAGTGTTTGCCGAATCTTTTGAAACATCAGTGCCATGGGATAGGCAAGTTCTGTGTTTAAATAAATTTAGTAACAGAGGGATAAGTAGGGGTAGTTTAGCAAATTCAGTG